ACAGAGAGAGAGAGAGAGAGAGAGAGAGAGAGGGGACAGGCACTTTAATTCCCCATCTGAGTTGCCATGCTGTTTGGATACCCTAGTTACCACAGTTCATTGGCTTTGAATTTCCTTCAGTTCTGCTTTATTTTACTGAAATGTAAAAGCCAAGAGTAGTTCAGTACCAATTACTTACTCAATTGTGTTCCTGTCCACTTTTCCTGTCATATTAATGCCATAGAACTGCTGCATGGCAGCTATCGCTGATTCCATGGTCTCTGCAGAGCGCAACACTGACATTCTGGGGTCAGTTGGTGGAAGATAGCCATACTTCTGTAGCCATACCTGCAGTGACAAACACAATGTCTGTTAAAAAGGAATTATCATTAAATAAGTTTCTCTAGTAACTAGACTCCATGTCAATCTGATGAAGCTTTTAATTCACCTAACAGAAATCGTTTTAGTTAGTTAGTTTGTAGAGAAAAATATTTCTTTGGGGTTTTTACTTCATCTGCTTTATTAAAGATTCTGCTGTATTAAGACTTGTAACAGTTTGTACCCTGAAGCTAGATCTCATTATTATCTACAAGTGCCTGCTTCAATTATTTATTTAATGTATTTATTTATTTCACGTACAATTTAAGGACCTACCCCTGGCTTGAGGCACTTCTACAAATTTTTAAAGTAGACAAAATAGAAAATCTATAATATATGTCAGATATAATTGACTGTACACAGGATATATAATAATATTCACCCACTATAACAATAAATCCAAAATAGCTCTCACATCCAATGACACTGTGTTCTTATTTCTTCTCAAACAGCTAGGGAAAACAACCATTTCCTTGGTACCTACTCATCTCAGGACTAGCTATGTTGACTGTATAGCTATGTTCCAAAGCCATGCTTAGGCAAACTGCATTGCCATGGTTTCACTCCCCAAATAATAAACTTCTTGCAAACCCATCATAAACACCATTAAATCAATTTTGCCCTCCCACATAAGTCAAATCAATTCTTCCGCCTCTTTCCCACTTACCTACAACCCATTGAATAGATTCTAATTCCCAGAACGTTCCTGTTGTCACCCAATAACATATTTTGGGATAGTCTCCTCTCCCTGTAGATGAATACATCATAATCTTTAATTTATGGTATTTAGGCTCATAACATCCCTGAGAGGTAAAGGAACAGTGGCACAAAGAGCTCTTCCACCATACCACATATGCTAATTTCTAGATATCTGCTTGTTCATGAAACCAGAGGCTTTCCTTCATTCCCCTTCCCCATCAATGTATTTGGGATATCCCACCATTGATGAATTTCAGGCTTGTCTCTCAGCTCCCTGTTAATGAATTATGTTTAGTTACTAGCTTCATAAGTGATATGAGACTGAAGCCTGGGAATGAAAGAGTAGTTAGGGAATACGGCCCTTGGTAAGCAGAGGGCAGCCACTCTAGAACGACTCCATTCACTTTTGCAAGAGAACACAAATATGTCAGCAACACTTTGTGGTTACCATTGTAAAACACATCTGTAATCAGATGCAAAAAGTACAACCACATCTCCTCTCTAATCATGATTTCCTAAATGTTAGCATGCATATTCAACTGAATAAAAATGCACTAGCAATGGTCCCACTGTTTCTTAGTCTGGTCTTTGTTACACGCACCAAGTCACAAGTCTCACAGATGACAATAACTTTATTGTCAATCAACCATGCATTAAAGATGATGATCAGAATCACTCCAAATCCATGACAAAGTCTGTGCTTTAAGGCTCTGAGGAAACCTTTATGTTAACTATCAGCAGTTCAAATATCCTGACTCAAGCAGGCTTAAAACTGCACCTGGTCTCACAGACTTCCAGTTTCAGCATAGTAACAGGAGTGATGCTATTCTCTACAAGGCAGCATTAGCATATGCCCTGTACACTGTTGCACTGGCACATCATCTTCAAGTACAACTGCCACTCAGTGAAACAACAAAGTTCAACGCAACAGAAGGGTTGATACTGTCAGGTCCCATTTGACTCGAATTTCCACATTCTAGGTCAAAGTTCATTTACTTTGTGTGCTTCTGCTTTACTGCACTCTATACAGCTTCAGGGATGATCAGGCTTCTGAACTTCATGCCTCCCCTGCAGTGTATTTTTTAACTATAAAGTGACTAGCTGGTATAATGGCAGGCAAGGTTGTCTGCCTATGTCCTTAGACCAAAGAGTGTTCTCCAACCTTTTAATGGTGAAGATCACTTTTTGGTACCCCAGGATCTATTGCCCCCCTTCTGCCTGCCCTGTCCCCAGCCCCCACCCCTCCCCAACAAGCTACCAGGGCTCTGACCCCACTTACTCAGCCCAGCATGGACAGCGGGGGTGTGGCTCAGCCCAGCCACATGCATCCTGCCGCTCCCAATCGTGGAGCCTCTGACAGACTGAGATCAACTGTCAGAGGCCCCACAATTGACCAGTCAATCAAGATCTACTGGTTGGTGACTACTGCCTTAGACCAACACAGCTACAACCAAAAACTTAGCCGGCATAATGGTTCATCAGGAGCCACTATTGTTTGCATTCTTGGAGTCCCACCCTTAAGAATCTGCAGAGCAAGAGAGGGCTGTAGATGCCATGTGGTTTGGGAGATAAGGAGATGGCTAACATAGTCTCCAGCAGATTAAAAGGCAGAGTGGACAGATTTTGAAGGGAGAGAGTGCAGTTACCTTGAACAGAAATTGTACGTTACAGAATGGGGTTAAGTTTTTGTACACCCCAACCAGCTCAGAAGAGAGGGACTGAGAAAAACAAGGATCCACAAAGAGTGAAAAATATTCAGGAAGTAAAACTGAAACAAAAGTATGACAAAAAGAAGTCATTCTTGTGAACAGTTGCTTGAGATAGTATTCTTCCACTCCAAGTGCCTCATAATTAGGATATGCACATCCATACAGCCTTCATCAAATCCATCGTCACTCGCTGATGAATGGATGCCATCATCCATTCAGCAGTTGGGTGGCCTCTGGAAACACACCATATTCAGAAAAAAAAGTCCAAATGCTGGTCTATGGAGGAAATCCTTCAGTGAAACCAAAAATGGGTAAGTATGAAAAATTACAAAAAATGTAAACAGTAGCCATAACAGATGGGGGAATTAAATCAGTTCTGTTCCATATCTGCATTTTAAGATACCTATATCAAAGAAATTATTTCTGCTGGAATTTCCTGATTTTCTTCCCCTATTAGATGGCAATATAGTGCAGGACTTGTCATGGGGAATGGTATTTTCAGTATCTATTTTGTATGCTAGGGAATTCATCTGTCATGAAACAAGAAAATGGTAAAAGACACTTATCTTACACGACTGGTATTCCAAGGAAAACTGAACAGTCCTGTTAAGTAGTTAACAGTGATGGTCTGCAATAACTCCTTCTTATTTATGAGACTAGTACTAAACCAAGGAAGTATTGTTATCCAAATTATGTTTTCTATGTGGAGATTTCCCATGATACAACAAATCTGTATGCAACTGAAAGGGACTTTGTTCTTATTTTATGCCATCTCTCTCACCCACACACACACTAATATGTATTAGCCTGCATTCACCTAGATTTTACTTATTCTTCACAATAATTTTTGAAATAGGACCTTACGAAGTTTTTGTTTCCATTGCATGTGTGTGCAAACTTTTTATTGTTCATTTATTAACAGCACTAGACTGTAACAGATTTTGGTGGACATTTTAAAAAGAAAGAACATTGGCACTGAAGCATTTGATATGGAAATAAATACATTCCCACCAAAACAAGACACAATATCTGCCAACCTGTAAGAAAATAAATGTCACATTTTGTTGCACTGACAAGCTTGTGCACATTTTTGAAGTAATAAGTGACTTGGTTTTTTTAAATACTTTTTATTAACGGGTTTAAAATTACTTCTCCCTCTCAAGAAGTTATCTAAGGGTCATCTCTTATTTATTCAGTTAGTTATTTAAAGTAATAAAAATTGGGGGAGTGCAACTATCTATATATATGTAACATATATTTTAATTGCAGGCATCTTGAATAACCCTCCACAAATGTCTTCCCCTTCAAATATTTCCATCCTTATAATTCTAGCACTTATTTTCAAACATCTGGGGATAAACATGAATCATGTATCATGTCCTGAAAGTCACTGAACCTTGAATGATACTGAGCATTTGCTGACAGAGGGTCTGTAACTTTCACTGACATCTATGGAAACTTGATATCACAGAATCATGATACTGGAAGGGATCTCAAGGGTCATCTGGTCCAAATCCCTCTATAGATGCAAGAATGCTTCTCCTAAGTCATCTCTGCCTAATGCTTACTCAGCCTCCTCTTGAAAATCTTCACAACTTCCCTGGGCAGCCTATTCCATAGCCTCATTATGTTAACAGTAAGGATTTTTTTCCTGATATTTAATCAATATCTACTCTGTTGCAATTTGAAGATGCTCCACACTTTTCTGAATTTGGGTCTAAACAACTCAATGTCATTCCTGTTTCCACTGCCCTCATGAAACTTTATCATGATCTGCTCAGCCAAGTTAGAACCAATACATATGAGTAAGTATCTGAATTGGACTGAGGGCTAATATAGAATCTGATCTTCCCCATTCAACCTCCTTAAATTGTCTGCAACTGTGTCATCTGAGGGTGCCAACAAGCATTCATAAAACCTGGCTTAGGTTTAGGCAGCGTATTTTAAGCTGCTTAACCCATACGCAATGCATAGGGAGGGCACAGGGGGCATGTGCCCCCCCTGAGATTGGCCCTCGCCAGTCAGGGAGTAGGGGTGCTGAGAGAAGCGCCGGTGGCACTTCTGGTTTTGCCACCAGCATTTTTGAGGTCAGCGACTGGCTGCTGGGGGACCCCTCATTTTGGTCGGCAATAAGCTGCTGGTGCCCCCCCAGACTGAGGAGGCACCAGTTGCCCATGACCTAAACTTCAGTTGAGGTTACTGCATGCAGGCTTTCACTGTATGCCAGGAGGCCCAGGCAGCCAGAGGAAAGTCAATTGAGAGGGGGAGAGGGGGGACTGGTGGGCCTAGGAGCACATTGGCAGGTCAATGGAGTGCTAGCTAGGGGGGAAGAGGGGTGAGGGAAATTTCATAGATTTCATGGATTTCATAGACATTTGGGCTGGAAGGGACCCTGGAGGATCATCGAGTCCAGCCCCCTGCCCCAGGGGCAGGAAGTCAGCAGGGATCATAGGATCCCAGCAAGATAAGCATCCAAATGTGTTTTGAAGGTGTTCAAAGTGGGTGCTTGAACTGCCTCAGGTGGCAGCCTGTTCCAAACCTTGGAGGCTCGGGCAGTGTCTA